ATTATTTCTATTATCATTACTTTATTATTTCATCTATTACTATTATTATTATTGTTATTATTATTATTATTATTATCTTGTTATCACAGGAAAAATTATTATTATCACCATCATCATCATCATCATTATCATCATCATCATCATTATTATCATTATTATCATTATTATCATCATTATTATTATTATTATTATTATTATTATTATTATTATTACTATTATTATTACTATTATTATTATTATTATTATTATTATTATTATTATTATTATCATTACCATTATCATTATTATCACCATTATCATTAGTATTTTTACTACTATCATCATTAGTATTTTTACTACTATCATCATTAGTATTTCTACTACTATCATCATTAGTATTTTTACTACTATCCTCATTGTTATCATTATCATTACCATTATCATAATTATTACTATTGTCATTATTATTGCCACCATCATTATCACTTTCTTTCCCCATATATCCATGGACATTATGACATGGAATTCTTTCCCCAGTGACGTCATCGACCGTTCGGACACGGAGTCGCTGGCGTCAGACCTCAGCGATGACAGCGGCGTCAGCAACGACTCGACCGTCTCGTCGTCAGCGTCTACGTCAGCCACATATCGCGCCCTCGACGCCTACGCGGCGGACCCGAGCTTCAAGGTGAGGCCTTTTGGCATGGGAGTGTGGAGGGGGGGAGGGGGGCGGACGGAAGGAAAGAGGGAAAGGATGGAGAGAAAGAGGGAGAGGATGGAGAGAAAGAGGGAAGGGAGGGAAGGAAGGATGGAGGAAAAGCGGGGAAGGAGGTAAGGGCGGACGGAAAAGAGCAGCGCGGAAAAGAGAGGAAAATAATGAGGGCAGTAGGGAGATGTGAAAGGATGAAAAATATAACGAAATGAAGATGATAATTAACAATACATCAATGCTAGTAAAAAATAATGAAAAATAAAGATAAATAATAACAAAAGTATCACAACCCAGAAAGAGAGCGAGGAGGACACATCATCTATCATGATCATTAGATTATCCATACGGAAAATTTAATCAAATTAGAACAGAAAAAAGACCATCTCTCGGATGACTTAGATCCACAAACTTCTCTGAAATAGCTCCGTCTATAAGTGTCAATAAAAAGCCATTAATTCCCTTTCCACCTGAATATTTAATGCCGCCGAGCTGCCAGAGGATCCCTTTGAAAGAACCTTGAAGAGCCGCTCTTTGCCAGGGCCTCGAGTCTCCGATATTACGGATCCGCTTTCTGTTTACCTACAGAAAAAACAACAAAGGCCTTTGTTGTTTGCGCTTCAAAAGAGACATTTGAAATGCCTAAGATTTGTATCTTTCTCTCTTTTTTGGCTCCTGTTCTTCTAGTTCTGCAGAATAACAATGTAACAAACAGAAAAAAAACAATTATAATTTCACTATACGATAAACCTATGGCAATATCAACAATGCACACGCTTTACTATATGAACTCAAAGGGAAAATCCTTTTAAAATCAGAGGCACACTATCCGAGACCTATGGCAAGTAAATCAAAACCCTCGCTTCTTCAGAGTTCTTAGAAAGCATTCCCTCCCAGCCTGACCCGCATCTGACGGCTGTGTCACGTCCAGTCAGGGAAGATGTTAGTCATTTGTCTGGCCAGTTCAAAGTCCTGTCTAAACCGTGTCATATGCACTCAGGGAACAGTCTAGCATTTCGTCTTAACAGTTCGGCGCCTTGTCTCTGTCGCGCCACGTCCAATCTCAGTCGCGTCCTTTCGGAGGTCCCCGATGGCCCTTCGAGCGAGGGCGCGGGGAGGCACTACCTGGCAGCGAGCCAATTTCCCCCCAGATACCTGACGTGGCACGGCGGAGACTTTAAAAATTCCTCCTCGGAAATTACGTCAAGAGCCTGGGGCGAGAGTGGACGAGGCGATCTCGCCACTTGTTTGTGACACGGAATGATACAACAGTACTTATTTATTCCTCCGTTCAAGGGGTTTTCGTAGTGGTCAAAAAGGAAATACAATTTAAGGTCATTCTTGCCAACAAAAAAGTAATAAATAAAGATACATCAGCCTTTGCGACAAACTGATCCCTAGTCATAAAAAAAATAAATATATATATGTATATATATATATATATATATATATATATATATATATATATATATATATATATATATATGTATATATGTATATATATATATATATATATATATATATATATATATATATATATATATATATATATATATATATATATATATATGTATATATGTATATATGTATATATGTATATATGTATATATATATATATATATATATATATATATATATATATATATATATATATATATATATATATATATATATATACATACATATGAGTACAGAGAGAGAGAGAGAGAGAGAGAGAGAGAGAGAGAGAGAGAGAGAGAGAGAGAGAGAGAGGGAGAGGGAGAGGGAGAGGGAGAGGGAGAGGGAGAGGGAGAGGGAGAGGGAGAGGGAGAG